CAAACGGGAAGATACGAGGGCAAGTTGGGAGATTGATTGGCGGAACCATTCAATGCCTTTTGCGGAGGGTTCAGCCGCTTCCAGCAGTATCTCAAAGTAGCACTCATTGACGTTACCAGAGCCTGGATAATCCGTAGTTGATCATTTTCCCATAGATATCCAGCTCCTGCATGCCTAACGTTGACACTGTCTACGTTTCAGACACCAAAACTCCCCACTGCCTAAAAAAAATGTCCTTTCTATCTTATACCCGTGATAATGAGCACCGTGGACGACCTACGAATAACTTACAGATTCTTTGTGTTGTCGTGATACCGAGGATGGGATATGCGCAACATTATGTGGACAACGCCCAACCGTACGACTGCCACTACCCATGGATCCCCTCGGGGCGATGCGAGAGTCTCCGGGTTCAGCCGGTGGTTATGCCGGTCACCATCTCGTGAGTTAGACATTTTCATTGCTGTGCCTCGACGGAATTATGGTACGTCTCCAGCCAGGTCCAAGTCACCACACTGACCAACTCCCATATTACCAACTTTAACTGCCCTCTCCGAATCATCAAAATGACCGGAACAGGCTAAATTCCATGAATAACAGCGTCATGATCATGTCAACATTCATCCGAATAGGTCAGTGTAGGTAGAAACGGGGTCGCCTGATGAACAGCTTCCACGGTTTCAGTCAGATGAGGTAATTGCATTCCTCGTATAGAGCAAAAGTGGTACACGGGGATGCCGTAGGTCATGAGAAATCGCTCGTTGTCTATACAGTTAAGGTGCTGGGTTTGTTCCCTTTTCTGTCTATAAAAGGCCAGTGAGTCTCGTCTAACGATGACTCTCCAGCAGTTCAAAACAAGTGAGTTACATTGCAGACATACTACTACCACTCCACTGGACCCTCACTAGACTACCTCTCTTCAATATGAAGTTCATTTTGCTTCCTGCCCTTCTTTCGACCTCTGTCCTCGGGCTCAACATTGGTCGAGCGCAAGCTACTGCCCAAGTCACCTTTATTGGCGCAGCTGGTGCCCAATTCACCCAGGACTTCCCCATTGACGGGTCCAATGTCAAGATAAGTATGTTCCCCGCACACGACTATCATATATCCCGGCTAATATCACTAGCCAACCCCCTCAGTATCTCACACATATCTTGCGGCACCCGGGGTGCTGTCTGTACGTTCGATGGCATTGACCACAGCGTAACTACTGTGACCGGCGTGGGTCAGGTTGACGTCGGCCCTCCACAAACCCAGGTTCAAGGGTCTTGCCGGTTCGGATCTGGATCGACTCCCAGCAACCCTGGTCAAACACAGCCCACTGGGGGTCAAGTGCTCATAACCTTCGTCGGTGCTGCAAACGCCCAGTTCCAACAGCAGTTCCCGACCAACGGTGTCAGCACCAAAATCAGTACGTATCAGGCAAACTAGATTATTTGAGAAAGCTAACTGAGGAAAACAGGCAATCCCCTAAGCATCTCCCACATCACGTCCACTACGGGAGGTGTTAAGTGCACCTTCAACGGCATCGACAACAGCATTACTACTATCAATGGTGCCCAGACGGTCGATGTTGGTCCTCCACAGACCCAGATCTCTGGCACATGCTCTGCTGCTTGAGGTCATTGCAAGTCATTGTCTCCGTGTCTCTTCGGAGACTAATGTGAATGCAGGAGCGGTGTGTGTTTGCCATGGCATGCTTACATTACTTCTGACTTGATAGTATTCTGTGGTCGGATTTCAGTTACTTGCTCTTACAGGTATTCCGGTTGTCGTTAGCTGTAATTGGGTTGTTTAAGTATATACTTCCTGCATGTATTGTCTTGTTTTTGGGCATGAGGACGCCCAAGACCTAATTCGGAAGGTAGCACACCTGTACGATGCCTTTCCAACCGAGTGCTCTGTATCATAACTGGAATATACATCATAAATGAAAGTCGTACTCCACGTTAGCGACCTGGCTTGTCGAAATAACAGGTCCGCTATTGCCTTACTGAATCCAAGAAGTACAGCACCTGCACCTCGTCTGTCTTATCGAGCATTCTCTACGCTGAATAATTCATGTTGATCTACGATTTATGGAAGATCGATCAAAAGAATGACTCATATTCAACTGGGGCCCCGCAAAGTAATACTAGAAATCAAAACTATCTACAAATTCCTTCTCCAATTCGTCACTCAAATGCTGAGCCGATCACATCATCACATCACTGCATGCCAATCAATCCGCTATAGATTGAGCTGATCGACGTATTCTGCCACCGTTCCAGTTACAGTGACAGGCCTCGTGGGCACGCTTACTCGTAGGTGATGGTCACCTCGGAGTCGCTGTCGATGGTAACATCAGTGACCACCTGGCCATTCTCCTCGATCTCGATGATGGTAGCATCCGTAAGGCCAACGCTTTGGCCTCCTGCGGCCTTGGCAACAGCACCGGTGAAGGTGACAGTGCCAAAGTCCACCAGGTCGACGAGCGAACCATTTTCCTCGAAGTCTAGTATCCCGTTAGCGTTTGACAAAGTTGGGACAGGAATGTGCGGCTGATAATACCTTCCACAATCCACTCAGCGTTCTGTCCTCCAAGGCTGGAGCTGGATGACAGCTCCTTGGTGACCTTCTGGCCGGTGCTCTTGTTCTCAATGATAGCAATACCGGTGGTCGAGGTGTAGGACTCGACAATGGCAACAATCTCATCACCGGCAGAGATGTCGATGCCGCTGAAGTCGTAGGCGTAGTCCGGGTACCACTCATACCAGGCATCGAATGAGGCCTCTCCATCGGTCACGGTGAAGTCAACACCAGTCTGGAGGATGGCGTTTCCATAGGTATCTCCGTCGATACCAACCCAAGCAGATGCAGCCTGACTACCTCCAGAGTTGCCAGTGGGCTCAGGGACAGTGAAGGTGCCGGTCACCGCAGTGTAGGTAGCCGCAGCAGAAGGAGGCTCCACCAGCACTGCACCGGACCAGTTGGAGCTGTACTCGACGTTGGTCTGGTTCTTGGTCGAGGCAGGTCTGGCGACTGCCTGGAGGGGTCGGGATCCCTTGCCGGCGCCGCGGGCCTTGAGGCGAGCTTCGAGACCACGCTCGGGAGCCGCGACAGCAACGCTGGCGAGGATGGCAGTAGCAATTGCAGAAGTGAACTTCATCTTGATGAGTTGGTAGGTAGTGAAACTGGGAGAAGAGGCGTTTGTGCGTTGGAAGAATGAGCTTTGATGTCTTGAAGAACCTTGTAGTGAGATAGAGATGAGATGAGAAGAACAGCAGATTTATCCTGATATTTATAGGATGGCTCTTGGATAAGTATCGATCAGGTCAACGCTCTTCGCTAATGGCATCATTCTTCCTCATACCATGCTAGAAGCAACGCCATGAACACTTTGCGACGATACCACAGCGAACTGCCTGCAGAAAGTGGCGACATCCCGACTGTCCATATTGAGATGCATCGGAGTCCGGTGGTGGAATCAAATCACCCTAGTAAATTCAGGGAGTTTAAATAGCGTCCGCCGTTGGTTATGTGCTAAGTAAGATTCCAGTAGTAGCACGTCTTACGCGACGCAAATTGCAAGTCAAATCACGTTAACCACCATCACCTTGCACCAAGAGACCTTTAACCTGTCCATCAGTGTTTGATATCTAGCTACATAGTGTAATATAATCAGTATAAGCGATCTAAACTCAGGGGTTGGCATTGATAATGGATACACTGGTCCTTAGAGAGAGATCCGGCCTACCGACGAACAAGCTATACCCAGGGCATCGTCCGCATCCAGGCACCACCGCTAAGGATGCCAAGGAATCTGTTAGAACAGCCATGTAAGCCCGGTTAATCTATTTTGCTCGGCATTGAAGCAGACATTATCGGCATGACGGCCTATCACCTCCGCGCAGGGCCATTGAGCTTGAGGTCAGGGTTGGTTTGCGTCATTTTGGTTCGGATTACCTGACCCCTCTGCAGAACCCTTGGGCTAACTGCCCCCGGAGAAGGTCCTGCTCCCGTTAAGTCCGAGTCGAGGTTTTTAGTAGTTGATACGTGGTAATCCCTCTCCTTGACGAGACTAGAAAAGGATGGTCTGCGTTATCTACTACAGTCAAGAGTCCCTTGGGATTTGCTGCTATTCGAGTGTGGTGAATTACACAACAGAAAGGCCAGGTTGCGTCATATATATATCCTGATATCCGAACCATGTGTGCCTCCAGGACTGTCTTTTTTTTATCTCTTGCTTATGTCGCCTTCTTTTCAGTCTTGGTGTAAAGGAATAGAGGAAATCATACTGGACTCCCTGCTCCAGCAACCGGCTTGGCCCGCCCTAGGCACCACCACTACGGGTGGATTTAATTCGATTAGGCGCACAGCCAGTACAACAGTTCATTCCCGACGGCGACTGGGGTACTATTGATCCCCTGCTATATTCAAGGTTCTGTAACTACCAGTGATTATCAGCAATTGCGGTGGCTCTGGCTGTCGATGCAAGACGGTCTACTATGAGAAGCAATTACTCTTATGAGTACGACAAAGATATATTTCGATGACACGCGCATTAGATTGAAGTGCCAAAAACTTCACAAATCGAACAGTATGGTAGACCGAGCACAAAATCAAGGTAACTAGTCCTTCTGTAGCTGTAGTATTCACCACTCAAACAGCCGGAGGATGGTGGGCGAAGTATATACACCTAGGGAGATTCTGCATTGGACGACTCCAACGATGGCCCCTGTTTTGGTATTGGTATCCGGAACAGACCGACAGGACCCACGCCCCGAGACATTTCTACCACTCAAATCTCATGTCACGCAAGGAGGGGTTACGGCTGGGTGGGGAAGATGGCTTGGTCGCCTCGTCGACAGCGCATTGTGATTGATTGATTCGATTGATTCGCTTTTCGAACCCCGCCGCTAACGTTTGCCGCCATTTCCGCTTCGGACTCGGCGGTCAGAAAGTTGAACTTCAGTGTCGCCAAAGTCAGTAATCATCAGGTTTAGCCTACTGCCGCCAAAATGTCCACCCAGGATGAAGACATTAATGCTCCTCTCCTGGAAGGAAATCTTGCGCCAGAGTATGGGAGTACTGCAGGCCCTGCGTCTAGCCTAGTGCCCCATGCCTCATTTCGGCGGAACTTGGGCACGTCCGAGGCGTTCAGCATCATCATCAATATCGTAACCGGAAGCGGGATTTTCACCTCTCTTGGCGCCATTGACACCAATGTCCTCTCCCCAGGTGCAGCCCTGGTCGTTTGATTTGTGGGGGGCATCTTGGCTTGGACAGGTGCTGCAACTATGGCCGAGCTCGGGGCGGCGATTCCGGGTGAAGGTCCGTACAGACCCTCTGTCTTCGATTCCCCTTCACCAGCTCACTCCTTTCACCGCAGGAGGTGTCCAACAGTACCTTCAGTATATCTACGGCGAGGCCTTTGGCTTCCTTGCCGCGTGGACATGGGCCGTTGCGGTGGTGCCGGCCTCACTCGCCATCTTGAGCATTGTGTTTGTTGAAAGCATCTACTCTGCGACCGGGGTGACCGATCAACCCGATAGGATAGCACATAAGCTTCTATCCTCTCTGGTGTTGCTCATTGTTAGCATGGCGAACTCGGTCAGTACCCAGTTCAGCACGCGGCTTAACACATTCTTTCTCACCACAAAGTTCGCTGCTATCGCACTCACTGTAGTTGCGGGACTGGGTGTCGTCCTCTATCACCTTGCTCGCTGGGATAGGGATAATTCACGCGAACCACAGGACTGGCTGACGAGAGTCTGGTTTGGGTGCTCGCAACACCGTTGGCTTGGACGGTAGGGAGATAGAGTGGCAGAAGTTACATGGGTGGGAAGCTCTCGGCCATTATTCCGCCGCACTTTATGGTGCACTGTGGGCATACTCTGGATGGGGCAGTGAAAGGGCTGCCTGACCAGTCCCCGAAATATGCTTTGATGATGGCTAATCCATCGCCAGGCAATCTATGTCAGCGCCGAACTTTCTTCTCCGGCCCGTCAGTTGCCTTTAGCCATCAATACCGCGGTTCCCATTGTCATCCTCAGTTTCATCGCAGTGAATATTGCCTACTATATCCTCCTGCCTTGGAGAGTAGTGTCCACAACAAATAGTGTAGCAGTGGTATGAATATTTTCATGGGTGTCATTGACATGGAAGTGAGTAAGCATCGCAGACTGACATTTTGCCGCAGACATCGTTTAGTCACCTACTTGGACCAACATTTGGGGCCATAGCAGCGGGTCTTATATGCCTGGTGGTGGCAGGATCCTTGCTGGGAAGTTCGTTTGTCGCCGGTCGCATTGTGGTTGCTGCAGCCAATTCCAACTGGTTGCCCGCCTTCCTGGCCCGCATTGGCTCCGTTTCACGGCGATCGACCTCGACAGCAGATGCCCCCATCAATGCGATTCTCTTCTCTACCGCCTGTTCCATTGTGTAAATTTTCTTCGGGAACTTTCGGGTCTTGGCGACATTCAGTGGTCTGTCTGCGTATGTCCTTTTCTTCCTGACCATGGTCGGCGCTATCATCCTTCGGGTTCGTGAACCAGAGCTGCGCCCGTACAAACCGATGATCTGTGTTCCCGTTATGTTTGCTCTGGTAAGTGGGTGTGTGGTTGCTCGTGGCGCTGTTTTTGCTCCTGTGCAGGCCGCGGTGCTCATTGGACTGTGGCTGGTGGGCCTAGGGTTGTATAGTGCGAGGAGGCAATGGATAGGGAAGGGAGAGGCGGAGAGTAGCGAGCAATAGCTTTGATACTCGATTCGAAAGCGTGAGAGAGGCGCGCTGGTTGTTAGCTCAAACCATGTGTTTCCAAGTCGGGTCAATTTCGGGATCGCCCTTGTGGAATTCTTACAAAGGGCAACAGGTAGTCCCCTCACCCTGCTGGTGAAAGGTGGCCGGGGATGCGTTTCCCGCATCGACGGGAAGATTGGTCATGATGAAGTAGTGGTGAGTTGAATTTCGTCAAGCAATTTACCTGGCTTGCCTGAAAATGCACCGGAGTTCGGAAGTGCATATCCGATGCACCGGCAAGGATATCACCTTCTGTTGCACAACGGTCGCGACTTCTCACTTAATCACCAGATAATTCTATTGACCGAGACATTTATTATCACAGCCTTTTCACGGAGGTAGATACTGAGAACCAACAGCATCACGGTCTTTGCTTTGTTCTGGGAAGAGAAAAGCAAAGCATCGTCCTGTATAATCAATATACGACCAGCGTCATTCATAATATTACCTTTTGTTTACCTTTCGTTTACCGCCCGTTCACTGTCCGTTCACTTCACATTCGCTGTCCATTAGATCATCGAGCACAGTGGACAGATGGACCACAAGGACAAAGGAATCCCTGGTTTTCCAACTCACCCTGTAATGGATTGGAATGGACCAGACGACCCTGATAATCCTCGGAACTTTTCGCTGGCCAGGCGTTCCGTGGGAATTGCCAGTGTGACCCTGCTGGCTTTTGTCAGTGCCTTTGCAGGTGCCATCTATGCACCCGCACAGACTGCAGTGATGAGAGTCATGAACTGCAGCTCCGAGGTCGCCATGCTCCCACTCGCCCTATATAATCTGGGACTAGCATTTGGGCCCATTGTAGGGGCACCCCTGTCTGAAACTTACGGTCGCAAAGCCGTATATCTTGCAACTACTCCAATGTTCATGTTGTTCATGATTGGTGGCGCCGTGTCCAAGACTATATCGGCCCTAACTCTGTGTCGTTTCTTTGCCGCTGTCTTTGGGTCATCAAACATCAGCAACGCCTCGGCAACCATTCTGGACTATACTCATGACAGCGAACGTGGCACCGTCCTCGCTATCTACTATGCAGCCCCAACTGTTGCTGCGACCCTGGCACCTCTCGTTGGGGGACTTATCATGATTCATACTGGAGAGTGGAGCTGGACACAATGGGCACCGGTAATTCTCGCGGGAGCTTTCTATTCCCCGTTGATCTTCACCAGGGAGACCTATAAAGCGGTTATTCTACGACGTCGGACGATGCCACTGGGCGCGGCGGACGTAAACCGTGAGACATTTATTGGCGCTAGATTTCGGAACCTCTTTATCATTTTAATCCAGCGGCCTATTCATATGCTCCTGACCGAACCGATAGTGACATTCATCAGCCTCTACAACGGGTTTCTGTTCGGTTTGTTGTATGCATTCGTGATTTCCGTTCCTTGGGTTTTTGAGAAGTACTATGGATTCGATACCACCGGCCAGGCTCTTTCGTATCTTGGTGTGACCGTGGGCAATATGGTTGCTTGTATACCCCACGCTCTGATAGACCGGTACTTCTTCCTACCGCGGCTGCAGTCGTGGAAACAAGTCCACGAGCCGAGTCTCAAAATGCCTCCGGAGTCTCGTCTTGTATCAGCTTTGGGGGGCAGCTTGCTACTTCCACCATCGTTGCTGATTCTTAGCTGGACGGCCAACTTCCATGTCCATTGGATGGTGCCCATAGTATTTCAAGGCCTCTCGATGTTTTCCTGCTTGTTGGTGTATTCTGGGACGAACCTTTACATGATGGACACCTACGGTCCACTTTATGGTGCATCTGCCTCAGGCGCAATGATGTTCAGTAGATACATACTCAGCTGCGCATTCCCCATGTTCACTCTCCAGATGTTTGAAGGGCTTGGTGTAGCATGGGCAACAACTCTACTGGCTGCTTTTACTCTATTTATGGCTCCGATTCCGTGGATCTTTTGGATTTATGGATCGCAGATTAGGAAGGCGAGCAAGTATGAGACTACACTATGAGCTAGACCTGTTGTATCAAGAGCAGGTTCCTGGATCCTTTGGCCGTGAGGATCCTACGCCTTTCAGCAAAGCCTTGGAGGAGAAAATCCTTCACTCAGTCTTGAAGCTGGTATAGCCACATAAATATATTATAATCTAAGAAATCATCTACTTACGGTCCAGCTTCCCGCTTCTTTGCGTAGGAGTAGCAGCCTGTCACGGAGGATGAAACAAAGACAATGATGAGCTTGGTTGGCAGCTATTTATCACACGATTCGCGATACGCCTGGCTTTGCTGATTTTCTAGCGTGTCTATTGAGGACGATGTAGGTATAGAAGTGGAATCAGAGGATGAGAGTTCGACCAACTTGTATGACCGAGACTTGGGTGCGAAGAACGCGCATCAGCTTGGGGGTAACTGTGCTCACTCCACATGGCACACCGTTTACAATTTATGTCTCTTTCGGCCTTCCTTAATTGCCCGCATCTGCTCCCCTGGGATACCCGTTGTGACCATTTCTAGCCCCGCAAAAACCTCGTCGCAGTTTTGCTGACTATCTATGCGTCTCTCCGGTTCACGAATCAAATTTTTGATAGACAGCAAATTAGATTGTGTGGCAATCGAACTGAATCGCTTTTGTACTTCTTCGAGTACCCGCTCCAGAAACCCAACAGAATCATCTGGCTTTCCGGACGGGGCAGAGATAACCTTATTGACGAATCCGTTGGCAACGAGCTCTTCGCAGGGTATCCGCTTGCTCATTATTAAGGCTTCGTTTGCTTTGGAAATCCCAAGGCGCCGTACGAAGGAGCGAGACGCTGCACCCTCAGCCGCGACGCCGAGCGAAGAGAATGGTGTGAGGAGAAAGGTATGGGGCGCAGCATATATGAAGTCTGCATGTGCAACGAGAGCTGCCGGAAACCCGACAACCGGCCCATTCAGTGCCACAATGAGAATTTTGGAGAAATTGACGAGTATATGGGTGAGGTCGAGATTTGAAAAGTACATGCTACGCATGTTGCGTCGTATATCAGTTCCGTGGGCCATGTTTCGAGACGTAGAACTAACATCGGTGCCCCTGTTTTGATCAACGGATACTATCATTAGCTCTTTGGCCACGACCCAGGGTTGAGTGAAGCTCACGCCGAAAAGAACCGTCCTGTGCCGGTCAGGACCGTTATGGTGATTTCAGGTGTTCTGTCGACATTGCGAAGGCTTTCCCCTAACTGAAAATAGTGGTCCTGGCGCATGGAATTGAGCTTCTCAGGGTTGCTGATAGTTACGACCGCTATATGGCCTTGTAGGTGTACTGTTATCGGATTTTGGGCCCTCATCCTGGGTCTCTCATCAATTCGATGAAAATGTTCACACTGTAAAAGCGCCATTCCACATTTATCCAAGAAAGCATCGGTCTCGCCCTCCAGCTTACCAGGCAACCTGCATATGCGGTTACCCCCCTATTTGGGTCGCCTGCATATTAAATTTCGTCATTTGCGCAAGGCATACCTCTGCATGGAGACGATCCTTCTGCAATCAAAAGGCACAATGATCTGGATCTTCTTGTTCAGGGAAAACTACCGAATGAGGCGGATTTTATCTTAGAGTTTTCACGAGCTACATGGAAACCGGGTAGATGGTGACAGCCACACCTCAAAGGTTTGATTTGATCCGATGCGCCTTTGGAAAGTGCACCTTCCAACGTTTCTCGACTGTAGTATTATCCACAGCACCAGGCAATCCACCCCATCTTTCATGGCAGGCCTTTTCCTCCTTACACCAACGCCTTGATTCGCAAACTAACCAACGAGCAATCTCATCCGCACATTGATTGACTGCTTCGAAAGGAACCTGATGTGAATACCCTTTCATGACTACTTCACGCACACGTCCAGCAACAGCTCCGCCACTGCCTCCCGTAGCAATGCCCGTAACCTGAAGTTTATCGCTTCTCAACTCCGGGAGACTTATATGGGACTCACTACCAAAGATATATAGTACACTCGGTCGCAAATACGGTAATCGAGAAAACAGTGCTGTTATTTCTGGGCGGTAAAAGGGTATCGATGTCAAGAGCTCAGGGTCCAGATCTGGGTGGGTTAGGCGGTTTCTAATATCATTTGGGCCGGCATCAGGAGCAGGGAGGTCATGGTACGGTCGCCCAAACGAGGCAAGCTCCTGGGCCAGCGGAGTAGAAAGTGTCACAGGAGTTGGCCTAGTAGACTGGTTATTCTTCTCATGTGCAGAAGACTTCCTTGGGTCATTCCGCAAGCCATATGTTACCAGCCGCTCGAAGGCACGTGGATCCCAGGTCTGGTAAAAGGCTTTTCGACGAAAGGATTCAGCCGCTGCCTCTCGGGATGGCCAATTTTCTCGTCGATGAACAGAGAACTGTAAATGAGGACGCAGCAGCGTACTGTGATCGTACAGTTTCTTGTTTCTCAGCCGAGTCACTGGACGTGTGATGGGTGGCTCAATGAGAACTACAGCCTGGAAAAGTCGTGGATGGATGAGACACAGGTTGACTCTTAGAAGGAACATGTTAGCCAGCTATTTGCGACGGCCAGGAATCACTAATCTGGGGAAGCTAACAGTGCAAAAGCTCCAGCACTATGTGCAATAGCAATTATGGGGTGTGGCATTTCATCTCGTTTGACATTGATCAGATGGAGAAGATCCCGGCTATGATCAAAATGGCTTACTGTATGACCGTCAATTATTAGATTGGCTTGTTTTCCAAAACTCCCATAGTGTGTCAGATGGTGTGCTCACCGTCAATTCCAAGAAGGCCTTCGTTGACTATGCTGCTTTGACCCTGATGCGCTGGATCTGCCGCCCAAATACTACGAATGCTGAGCCCGTCTCTATTACAGCGGACCAGCAATTCCTCACAGAGGGGCTCATAGAGCTCCTATATTTCAGGTAGCGGTTAGTGAGAATTCATGAAATGAAAACAATCGTGATACTTTTGCAAACCCACTCCCTGGAGCGATTAGAATTGTTACGGCCCTAGGAAGCAGCGTAGGGTCGTTTGTGGGAATGTACTGTTTAACAGCCAGATGAAGAACATCTTCTTGTGTTCTTCTGGTGGCTGCCGGATATTCTCGAATATGTTGGCACGGCACCGTATGCTCAATGACCCGAAAGGTGCTAGATGAAGACATGGCTGATGAGATGGCGCCGCATAGGCAATGTAAGAACGATCGCAGTAGCAAGGCTGCAGTAGCGCATCTACTTGTAGATTACCACCCTACACTATATTCCTAGATCAACCAAGTACCATGGATTACAGGTTTCGTGACTAAAACCAAACAAGAAGATCTATCTCATCACCATGAGTGATCTCTAGCTATGCTGCAACAACAGAGTTTCCGCGTGACTAAGCGCTAATCTCAACTCACAAGTTGCCTTGCATTTAGCGAGCTGGTCATGTTACACCATGACATCACAATCTTTCTCCTTGCAACTAAGGCAAGTCTAAACCTAAAATCTCGCACTAGATCTATAAACCTGTTCACAATCTTCCCCTTTTAGATCCAATCTTTGCTTTCCTAACTAGTTCCCAAGCATCCTTCGCTGCAGGCTTCACCTTTGAAGCATATTTTGCCGAGTCAGGACTGGAGGTCTGCCGCTGAACATGCCTGGCGGCCACACTCTGCAAGATAACGGTGGTTCGGAATGCGAAGAATGCATCACCCCACGAAAGGTCTGGTTCTGGATCCCAGCCTGCAGCCTCCGCATACCACTGCACGCACTGCGCGCGACTAGGTAATCCCAGCACCTTCCCGGAGCGAAACCCTGCCACGTCTTGGTTTAGAAGACTCCAGAAATATGGATGTGTGAGGTTGCAAAAGTCCGAAAGCGGATGGCCCAGTGTAGACATTTCCCAATCAAGGACCGCGATTACTCGTGATTCTGTGGGATGGAATATGAGGTTATCAATCTTGTAATCACCATGCACCATAGCATGTCGATCTCGGGGTCGAAGATCGTGGCGTGAGAAAAATTCGATTATCTCGGCGAGCTGCGGTAACTCTCCTATCGGCGCTCTTGTCAAGGGGTCTTCCACCTTTTCCTGTGCGCGTGATAGTGTAGTAAATGTCGACAACTGACGGTCATAATACCTGCCTTGCTTACCAAAACTTTGCAGCCCGATGGAGCGGGTTTTGGTGGTATGGATTTTACCCAACACGCGCACAGCATCTCTCCACCTGAGAATCCAAAGTCAGCTCATGCAAAACAAAATAATGGCATAGTAGACCGGGAAACTTACAAAGCTGTCCTTTCTGCGGGACTCACTCCGGGCATAGTAGAGTCGGTGAAGATTCGACCATCCAAGAATTGCATAACATAGAATGGTGTCCCGAGAATGTCGTCATCTTCGTACAAACAGTACGTCCTAGGGACCGGAACATTCGTATTCTGCAGAGCAGAGAGCACTCTATATTCCCGCTCAATCTGATGTACAGCCCTGGAGAGAAGCTTTCCTGGTGGCTTTTTCCGTAAGACGTAGGGCACACCACCGGAATCCGTGATCTTGTAGGTTGGGTTAGACTGTCCCCCCTCAAACTGTCGTGCGATACCGGTTAACCCATCATACTAGAACACCTAGAATGAGGTAGCTCAACTTGTTCTACTTTTAGAGGAGCTCGGATTATGGGTAGCACACGAGCAAAATATTTCTCCAGGGCATGAAGGTCTATTGGCTGTTGTGGTGCATTAGACATCGTGAAGGAGTTGATGTCTTGTAGATACTGCAACGACTAGAGAGTCTAACAACTACCATATCATCCACGATTGACTGCTACGCCGGTTTTATATGCTGACCATGTGCAAGCTAATAGTCCGGAAAGGAACAGGCTAAGGGATTAATTATGATGAAGTCCCAACAATAGCAGGCCATGGAGAAACTTAATCCCAGAAAATGAAGTTTCATTTGACATTTAGACATACTTTACTGCGACAAACATTGATTCGGTCGCTGTATCATGTTAAAAACCAGAAGAAAATCCGGACTAGAATTGTGGTTGTGCAGGTTACACAGCGTTGTCGATCAGTTCAATTCGGTGAATCGAAGACGCAAGTCCGGTGGTGGTGTTGTGGCAAACAATCCCGAAGGGTGTGGAAACTTATCATCTTCAGTCTCCACATGGAAGCGCTCAACAATCAGCGCTATTTGCCGTTTGATTTGCGCCATAGCCAAGTGTCTCCCAACACAACTTCGTGTTCCATATCCGAAGGAAAGCAAGCAGTTAGTACTTGGAGCGCCTCCTGTGGGCACCTGCTTGGGATTCTCCGGATCGGACCGATCAATCCACCGTTCCAAATTGAACTTCTCGGCATCATCTCCCCAAATATGACGAGCAGAGTTTATAGCCTTCGGACAGATTGCGATGTTCGTTCCACGGGGAATATGACGTCCCTTGATGGTAGTGTCGCGAATGGCTTTGCGAAGGAGGAGTCCAAAAGAGGGAAAAAGGCGCAGTGACTCCATGACCATTGCGTTCAAGATAGGAAGACGGTCATATTCGTCTTCATCAAGGGTCACCTTTTCACCTTTCCTTTGCAGTACTTCCTTGCGTACTAATTGCTGGGCATCTTGATTGGCTGCAAGACAGTAGATCACAAAGGAGAGAGAGCCGCCCGAGCTTTCGAAACTACCTCTGGTTTTAGTAATCTCGTTCACGTGGAAGGGGATCTGGAAAGGTTTACCCAGCAGCAAGGATGGCGTTTATCTGTCCTATGTATTCGTTCTTCTCGAGGGACCCAAATTGTAGAACGTTGGACAAGTAAGTAAGGTGGTCATCCTTTCTATCTGTCTCCTCCAATCTTATTTGCACCATCGAACGGATGCCAGTAAAAATGACAGATTTTGCGGTATCCATTTCTCCTTCCTCGTCGGAAGGAATCAACCTGTCTATCCAGTGTGGCAGTAAGTTATGTAGGATAAACCGTTTCTTCTTCTCACGATTGCTAGTAAACAACGTTTTCATTGCCTTGAACAGGGGGATGTTTTTGCCCTTAATCGTCTCCAGATCAATTCCCAGTGCAACTATACCTGCAGTGTCCATTGTGGCTCTGAATACAGCGTCTGTAATGCAAACCACGGCAGCTTTTTGCGTGTCACTTTCTGCGACGTTATCTGATAATGAAGAGATATACTCATTAAACTGCCTCGACTTGGCGGTCAAGAGTGGATGAATGACGTGTATGTTCGTTTGATTGAGGACAGGCAGGAAGGTTTTCCGGTTTGCCTTGTGTATCTCCTGTTCCTGTGAAACGAGGTTATCTCCAAAAAACCGATTTGCGTATCGCCGGAAGGCACGTGATTTTTCGTAGTCGTATGAATGAGTCGCGAGTACTTCGACAAGTCCATCCTGGTCTGTAGGAACTATGTACTCGGAGCCAAATAAGCCGAAGAAATGCATCAGTCCATGCGGATAGGGTCTCTCATTGATCCAATGAGTCACTGCGTTCGCTAGAGGCTCGTCAAAGATATCGAACACGTGGTCGTAGAGCCAATTGGCAGACTATAGCTGTTAGCTTCAACCTAGACTTGCGGGAGTATTTTGGTATTGTCTCGAACCTGTGGGCCAGGAATGTCGTTGAAGGCGCTGTGGTTCCTTCTTAGAAGGGTCGTGACACAAATAGCAAAAGGCAAGGAAGATGACCAGGACACAAAGATGGTACCGATAAGTGACGATGGATTGTTCGTCACAAGCCCGAAATATCGGGCGAGGACGTAAAGACAAACGCAGCTTACATAGTAAGTAGCTTTGATCCTGGTCTCGTATTTTGGCATCTTGTTTGCAGTGGTGTGTAACCTGTGAATGAAATGACAGTGTGGATGTATCTAAAAACTCCACTAGAGAATGGGGCCTATATATATATTGCTTTTCACCACGTTTGGTACGACAAGAGAGATGCGTAAATCGGCCGATGTTTCACGGGCATTAAATAAGGTAAAAGCCTTTACCGTTTCTTAACTGCTTCTTTTCGACAACCTGCATATAGACCTCTGCACAGCCTTCCCAATACAACACCCCACCGCCACCCGCCAACGCTCTGTCCCGGCATCTTGAGAACAGACTGCATGAAGGAAATTTGCATAATACCACCTCATTTTCACATTCCTTGAGAAGGTCGAGTATAACTGCGAACCGAACGCATACAGTAATCATGTAGTCATATACACTCCCCGTATGTCACTTTCCCTTCCTGTCGTGAGTCGACCAAACACCCTTACTTCACCCCTGCTGCTTCTTTGGTTAGGGCGCGTCAACAACCAACTTAAGTATACCTTAAAAGGTGATTATGGACAGGATTACATATTCTATTAGCGAAAAACTGTCAAATGCCTAAGTTACAATTGGCCCGGTGCCCTTTCCCAGCAATGAACGTCGAGCTTACGATGGAAACCCAATCGGTTGATCAGAAGAGGCATAACTTGATTTGGATTGGTACCTTAAACGAGAATTAAATGTATTGTAAATGTTGTAAGCGGTACATGTTTCCAGCGAGTTGCCTTTCTAGTCCCCGAATAATGCCGTCTGACTATGTACTCACCTGATCAGCAGGAGGAACAGGTAAATGTTAGCACGTGCATAGCATACATCACAATGTACTAAACCGACTGCCTATCAATCAACCAATATTATCTTTATCCGACATTCTGCAAATTTTCGCGTCTCCCTTATCACAGACCCCCTGAGCCCAAACAATCACATTCCCATGGCTCTTCTATCTTGACGTTGTAGTCGGTAAGATAACACATCCAAATTACGGGCTTGAGCGTCTGCACTCATCTTCCGCTGTCGCAGCATATCTGCGGTGGAGGTAGGCTCGATGGCAGTAAGAGTGACCCTGAATCAGGAAAGCATACAACCAGCACCCCACTCCTGTCTTGGTGCAGATTGCGCTGGAGATCAAGCATCGACGGTCATTCCCAATCATGTGCTTACGGTGGCAAAAGCAAGAGTTAGAGCGTCACAGATCAAGATCTCCACTGATATGGGAATGGTGGAACTCATGACGTAGCAAGACATATCAGCCAAGGTTAACACGATTATATGGCAAGTCCAAATGGATCTACATCATCCACCCTCATAAAATTGAGCCTTTGACGACAATGTGATGTAAATTGATGATTGATTGCATTTTATGAGGCGAGAATATAAGAGCAGGAATTGGGTCTGAATCAGGGAAGTCTATAGATAGATAGATATTGGAAAACCCTAATACTACCGCGGCCAGGGCGCTCTTGCAGGGGGCCTGCGGCCGGAACAAGCCTCTAAGGTGCGGAATCTACTAGCTAAACAGGTTCCTATTTCCAACCCCATATGTAGGGAAGATTATGTATACAGAACCCAAGTACGCTTACCACTAGATGATGACGATACTTGTACACCCACGTTTCTGAAGCGCAATACACCATAGGACTTGATATGGGAAGACCTAATAAACGGTACTAAAATAGCCGGGGTAAGGTGGATAACTTCCTGCCTCCTGCTTCAGGTTTTTGGTGTTGTGAGTCAGCAGGGAAGAGTCGGGATGTCCGATGGGAGCCGAAGGCCCTATCTTCCAAAATGGTACTTGGGACACCTAATTCAAGAACATGTAGTTGATATGGGCTTGAGACCAAATCAACTAGTGAATATGTGTGACTCCTGTTGCGGCAAGCCTGTATCCGTGGGGAGGATGCCAAACGAGGGATCTAATTGCATCGAGTTGAGCGACTACTCGAATCTGTCAGTCCGGGAAGGAAACACGGCAGTTGCGGGGAGAGCCCGCGCACCCTGACTCGAACACTCCCACCTACGCTAGTTGACGCTACGCACTGCCAAGCCTAAGGCGATAATATAGGGAATTACAAGATAGCTAGATGGTCGGAATCCATAGTAGAAATTACAGGGTCTCGGGTGTTATTGACGCGAGGCACTCCGCGTGTCTCAGATGTTGACAGACGAACCCCATCTCTTCCCCTCAAAAATTGGGGTATCCCAGCGAGAAGGGGAGAAACAGCACCGCCTCTCATCAATTTTCACGAGCAGTATATAGGGCCAAAATGCAAGTTACACGATGTGGACTTCACGGCTTTCATGAAGTACTAGGAATTGATGTGGACGAGATCCGCTTTTATTGGACGATTGAAACCGACGACAAACATGCCTCACAGCTCGCGTACCGGGTAGTGTTGAGCACCGACGAGACGGCTGTGCAAGGAGATGCGACCGATCAAGCTAAGCTGGCCTGGGATTCAGGCCGGGTGATGAGCAATGAGCAACGTAACATCATCTGCAGACCCGATAATGGCTTCCAGTCGACTTGCAGCTATTACTGGAAAGTGACCGTCTGGGATCAGTCGCAGCGACCCTATCACAGCGCCGCCAATCACTTCTTCACAGCCTACCCTCGATCTCACCTACTGCCTCCCTATAGCATGAATCAGACCTATATGCCTCATACCAGTCTTATTTTCCGCTCTTGGTTCGAGGACGAGCCGAACCGATGGAAAGCCGTGTGGATTGGTGACGGTGGAGACAAACCGATCTACCTACGCAAGGCCTTCGATTTGGCGCAGCCCCCAACCCGTGCCATTCTGTTTGCATCCGGCCTTGGACATTTCAACATGACTGTCAATGGAGCCCCGGCGTCAGACCATCGTCTGGACCCCGGCTGGACCAACTACCACCGTCGCGTGCAATTCACGGCCTACGATGTGACGGCCCACTTGCGGACAGGTCCTAATGTGCTGGGCGCGCACCTGGGCAACGGTTTCTATGCGGGCGACAAAGGGGATGATCGGTTCTTCTGGCCCATGTACGAAGACAACACCTATGTCCGCTATGGCAACGAGCTCTGCTTTTTTGGTGAGCTGCATCTCTTCTACGGCGACGGCACACACACGACGATGATTTCGGATCCATCCTGGCGCGTCCGTAGAAGCGCCACCAGCCTCGCTAATATCTATGCATCCGAAAACCACGATCGGCGACAATATCCAACGGGCTGGGACACTCCCGACTTCAATGATGCGGATTGGGCCCTTGCCAAGCCGCTGACTGGCCCTCGTGGTCATATCTACTACCAAACTCAGCCACCTGTGGTGTTGCATGAGACCTTCCAGCCAGTGAAGGTCACAGAGCCGCGTCCGGGTATGGTCTGCTACGATCTGGGGCAGAACGCCTCGACGATGGTGCACATGGAGGTCGAGGGACCAGGAGGATCGGAGATTATTGTCCGTTATAGCGAGACGATCAAAGAAGACGGCACAGTGTTGATGCCGGATCCCTTGTTCAAGGAGTTCGAGACTGGCGTGTTCTCTCGTATTCATCTGGCCGGGACGGGCGCCACTGAAACCTGGGAGCCTGACTTTAGCTTCACCAGCGCACGGTATATCCAAGTGGAAGGGGTTTCTTTGGACGGCAGTGACGGCCGCCCGGTCATCCGATCAGTTGTGGGACGCCATGTCTCGTCGGCTGCCCGCCGCCTGGGTACGATGCAGACTGACAAGGAAGACGTGAATCAACTGCTAAACGCCCTATTCTGGACCTTCAGCAGCAATCTGTTCAGTTACCACACCGACTGTCCCCAAATTGAAAAATTCGGCTGGCTGGAGGTCACGCATCTGCTGGCGCCAGCCACGCAGTACGTTCGCGATATGGAAGCTCTGTATACCAAGATCCTCGACGATATCCTGGACGCTCAAGAGCCTAGTGGGCTGGTTCCCACCATGGCGCCCGAGATCCGCTACATGTGCGGCCCGCTGCATGATACCATCACCTGGGGATGTGCCATATGTCTTCTGCCCGAAATTCTGAGAGAGTACTACGGTTCAACACATGTAGTCGCCAAGGTGTTCCCCGCGGCAGTGCGATACTTGGAATACATGCGTACCAAAGAGCGCCGAGGCGGTTTAATTGAACACGGACTTGGGGATTGGGGCCGCGGAATTGCCTTTGGTAATAATCAAGCTAATATCGAAACCGCGATATACTACCGGTGCCTGCAATCCGTCGCCATGATGGCTCGTGAACTGGGAGAAATGCAAAAGGCAGAAGAATTCGAACAGTGGGCCGCTCGGGTCTACGCCCTGTACAACCGTCACTTGCTTGTCACCGACGACGCGTCTCGGCCGTACGCCTACTATACCTCACTAGACAACTACCCGACCCGCGACCGAGATGCAGTCGCCCAAGCCATGGCTTTGCAATTTGGACTGGTCCCTGAACAGTATCGCAAGGATGTGATGGCTGCCTTTTTGGATGATGTAGCAGATGGGCGCATCCGTGCCGGAGAGATAGGGCTGCGGTACCTATTTAACACCCTGGCTGATGCAAAGCGACCGGATTTGGTGTTGCAGATGGCCCGTCAAGAGGAGCACCCGTCTTATATGCGGTTTCTGCGGCGTGGAGAAACAACCCTGTTGGAATTCTGGCAAGACGAGTGCCGTAGCAAATGCCACGACATGCTAGGAACCATTTATGAATGGTTCTACGCAACGGTCTTGGGTCTAAAGCCTACAGGACCGGCATATCGTACTTTCGTGGTAGACCCGCCTTACAATGCCGAATTCGATCATGTCAAGGGTTGCGTGGACTGTCCCTACGGGACGATTACTATTGAGTTTAGACGCAACAAGCAGCGTCAGGCCACCGTGAATGTGCGTGTGCCATTTGGTACTACCGCGATTGTTAAGCTTCCCTGCAGCGGCAAGTCTACAAACTATTTCCGGGATGGAGAAGACAGTCGGCCAGTGAACGGGAAGGAGGTCACCCTAAGCCACGGCATGTACTCTATCATTGAATGCTAGTAATAATAAAAGCTGGAATTGGTTAAGGCAGTGTGACCAACCTCCAAAATGGCCAGATCGTACGATAGATTGCTCGACGCGTGCTGTCTCGGTAGGATGATGACCGAGCCAGTTCATCGCACCATAGGCTGGAGACAAAAGTAGATAAATCTAGATTGAACGGCTCCGGAAAAGCCTACCAGTCCTGGACATAAGTGTGTAGCTGTTAGCATGCTGGGGCTCGGGATATCCGAGGTTCATGGTTATTTGTCTGTGGCCTTGGCTGGCGGCTTAACCCGGTTCGAACTGGCGCGTCGCGCTTAGGGCTCACCACCCCGGATGGGCCAGAGGTTATTGCGTCTATTATGATGAATACGAGCTGGCCAGACTCACCTTCGGTGTTATCAGTCTTTGTTGTGTTTCCTTGGGGACATTTTCGGGTCAGAGCCTCCCGAAGCCATCTCCACGTTTACCCCAGGATCTGTGATTTCGGTTCCTTGCGGCGGCAATGAAGACATGCTTCAGGCTATGCAACAACTCCGCCTTTTGGGCTGGAGTTGACCAGTGATACCCACTGAGTCACGCACCAATGTAACGGAAAGTAGCGTTATCCTTTGTATAGCGCTCGACAGTGCAACCAACCTTTTATTCGGGATTTTGAACAATCTGAAGAGCGACCTTCCGACGTTCCGACCAATATGGCCAAGCTATCAACTTTACTGTCCGCTGTCTTTTTGGCCATTGGAGGTAGTCACTCTTTTTTTCCCATTGATTGTTTGTTGCGCAGATAAACATATATTAATGACTCTGGTCGAGGACGAATAGGCTTCCTTTTCGGATATGACAGTGGTATCATTACCTCGACGATCGGCCAAACCGAGTTTATCAGATACTTTAACAACCCAAATGATACGGTGACGGGAGGTGTAGTATCTGCCTTTCAAGGCGGTGCCATCCTAGGAACCATCATTAACATCTTCACCGGCGACAGATTGGGACGCAAAATGTCCGTCTTTGCCGGTGCCTGCATCTCCATTGTAGGATGTGCCCTGCAGGGCGGCGCGATCAACATGACCATGCTCATCATAGGTCGGTTCATTGCGGGTGTAGCCGTGGGAATGCTGACCGCCACCGTTCCCATGTACGCCGGCGAGATGGCCGAAGCCGCATCCCGCGGAATGATGTCGGGTCTGCTGCAGTGGATGTTAAGTTGGGGATCTCTCGTTGCGCAGTGGCTGGGGTACGGGTGTTCGTTCAACAATACTGATTTCCAATGTATATTCAATCCAGATCACAGACTGTCCGTGCGGCATTTGTACCAAGAGTCTGACTTACATTCACAGGGCGCTTCCCACTTGCATTTCAATGCGTCCCTGGCCTCGTTCTCATGGCCGGTGTTTGGTTTCTCCAGGAATCACCTCGCTGGTTGATGGAACAAGACCGCCACGAAGAGGCATTAGCCACACTGCACCGCCTGCATGGTGATGGCACCCCTGAAAAGTCGCAGTACATCGAGCTCGAGTATCAGGAGATCCGGGACACCATTGAGGCAGAGCGTGCGCAGAATACCATTACTTGGACTTCCATCCTCACAAAACCTTCGTGGCGTCGTCGTCTCATTCTCGGCTGTGGTGTGCAGGCTTTTGGCCCGTTGTCGGGCATCAACGTCATCAACTATTATGGAACGCGCATCTACAGCTCATTGGGTATCGAGACACGCACCACACTGATGATCATCGGTATCTCCGGTGGCCTGTCGATCGTCTATTGCACCATCGGACTCTGGGCCCTGGAGCGCGTGGGTCGGATCCGACCGCTGATCGTCTCGGCAGCTGGCATGGCGGCGGCGCTGGTGTGCAATGCGGCCATGTCGCAGCACTATAACGAGAGCAACACCAATCAACTACGGGCAATGGTCGCAATGAACTTCGTCTTCAGCTTGTTCTATACATCGCCTGGGATCATCTCCTGGGTCTACCCGGCGGAGATCTTCCCCGTGGATATTCGGAACCAAGGCAATTCCATCACCACTTTCACCAATTGGACCGTCAATCTGGTGTTCGCGCAATTCTCGCCTACAGCGCTATCCAACATTGGCTTCCGTTACTTTTACGTGTTCTTCGTATTTAACCTCATCGCCATGATCTGCTATATCTTCTTCTTCCCTGAGACCAAGGGTAAGACCCTCGAGCAGATGGACGAGCTGTTCGGGGATATGATGGTGTTGCCTGGAGACATGAAGGGGAAGGAGAAAGCCCAAGTAACCATGATTGAGGATGCTCACATCGTCGCGCCCTAAGGCATACGTTGTTGCCTGTTGGCTGTTAGGACACTTGGGTATCGATGTTATCATTATTCAGTATACAGCCACTGGGGGAGATGCCTAGCAACCAATGATTAAGAGTTCAGCTGTTGAATGCACCTTTCACCCTGTCCCCACGGAGACAGTTTCCAGATCCTCTGAATCTGCGAGTTCTTCTATTGGCCTTGTCTGAAGCACGGGTTCGAAGGCAGTGGAGTCAACCTGTTGTATAGTCCACATCCTCACAGGGAGCCCATAAAAGCAACACGATGGGCACGAATGCATAGTTCTCTATCTAATGGTTCCTTATATACGAATACCAGCGTCCAAGTAGCGCTACTGTGGCTTTAGACGCCAAGGGAGAAGCTACATAGGGCTCGATTCATATATGAATCATCAAAGCGATTCGGACCTGAGCTCCGTACGTTCCCTAACACGTCCCGGGCTTCCATGTTTGACATTCTCAGTGACCCTGGTTTCTGACAAGCAATATCTGGCTCGGTGGTACAGTAGAATCTCTCCCCAATACTTTCTTTCTGCGGTGCTTTGTTCAATCGTTCAATCTTGTCTCAGAGTCCTGATATGTTATAGTGATATCTCCTAGTGCAATATGAGACTTAAATATATATCTTTGCCTACGGTGACATCCACGTGACTTTTAGTATCGCGGCCGTTGAGACATCTAATTGTATTGGCGTTATTTGGCTCAATAGTGATAAAATAACTGAGTTACTCCGTCTGCTGATCAGCCAGCGACATATCGTTTGCCAGACCGAACTAACATGGGGAGAGAAGTCAGATAAGCGATCGGCGAGAATAAACCAGACAATCAACATCACGTGAGCCGAGTCGAAGCTCGCCATCAGATGCAGCAACAACACCGCTATTTCCAACTCCAGTATTGATTTTTCAGACCTAGCAGGGCTGTATTACATAGAGCCAAATGCATGCCATTTAGACGAGTCAGACTTGGTCTAGAACTCGTTTCTGATTGAGTCTGACGCACTGTGACTCAGGTTCTAGCCCTGATGCTCGCAATTGAATAAGGAAAGCGCTACCACCGCACCAGCCAAGTGTTTCTAACTGTGGGCATACTGACGATCTCATATGCACCTAAAAAGGTCATAAGTGATGCGTGTTTTGAGTCATCAAACTCAGAATCCTAGTGTTCCACCGGATAGGCGAGCAGTATCGCTTCCGGAGGATTTATACCTAAAGCTCTTTTAGAAGTAGATTCCAAAACTACTCATCTAATCCTATTGATTATGAGGACAATGGTCTTCAACTTAGCTAAAAGGTCAGTAGGCGGTTATGCGAATTGTTAGGAGCTTTAGGACCTCCAGCGTGGTCCGCAGGGCGCCAAAACAGAGTAAAGAATGGAACAAACAACGAAACAAACAAGACTTGTACAAGGGAGGTTCTCAACATGTGCACGGTAGATTTATATTGTTGACCTGTATATTTTTACCCGGCTTAGCAACTAATCACTTTGCTTCGTGTCTAACATGTCCCACACATCCTCGAGATAGGCCGTTGTGAATCCTTCATCCAATACTTCTCTTTTCCAGGTCTCCATTGAGATGGCATCACCGAGAAACAAAGCAATGTCGACATCGCCAATGCCACAATTCATTCCGTCATAAGGACCTTCGTCACGCGCCCCAGGTTGGACCGGGTCATGCAGCCGGATGATCGGAGACCGATGTGGGAGGTAAAGCTCACTCGCCACGAAATAGTCGCCCCACCAGTCGCTATTGGGGTGAGCTACGTCCAGCTTCTCAGCAGCGTCAGGTACGGCTGCTAAAATGTCGGTTTGAAAGTGCTTGTTCGGGGAGGCGGTGGCTTCCATCCACAGCCCGTGGCGAGCATGTTTGGTCAGCCACCACAGCTTGGGGTCTTCTAGTTTGGGACCGCGCTTGCTGGAGTCGTGGGCGAACTGTTCCTTGAAGAGTTCAGGTGCAGCGCGCAGCAGAGCATCCCACGTATAGGTATACCCGGCCACTATGCAGGCCCGTAGACATTCTTCAAACATATCTGGTCTCCTGTGAGCGAGCTTCTCATAAGTCGTCACGTCGGCGACTTTTGGAAACCAGATGAGGTCTGGCAATAGCTTTCCAGGAGTATTGGGAGTGAGCCAAGACAGATCATTGGACATGATCCGGCGGGCGTTGATCGCGCGCCGAATATTAATCTCATGCTTATCTTGCGGGTGCTCAGGGATCTGCGTACTCCACCACTTGGCAAAGATCGGATTGTGGTAGATACCATGTACAACCATGGCCCATTCATGTTTAAGCATGTGCGGTCGTCGCAGCCGTGCGTAACGATCGATTTCTCCATTGTATGCGGCAACATAAATGAGTTTGTCCTTGTTGATGAAGGGGAGGTCTGTAGGAAGAGGGTTATACACTAATGGGAGATAATCCTCTGGTGCCTCCGGGGCTTTGTCGTCATGGTCATCTATGCCCCAGTCTTCCGTAATATTGAAGTAAGGGGGATCGCGACAGAATTCATTCCATGGCGGGGGATCACTTTTGAAATCGCGCGGCCCATAGACCTTGGTTCTGGCAGTAAGACTCGCGTATACAGCAGTATCCCCATTTAGAGATGCAATTTGACGCGCATTGATATTGACTGTCCGTGTATAGTCGTTCATGATCTCAAACTTCACACGTTGAGACATAATATGCTGATAGATCTGTTGACTGCCGCTGCTGCC